CGTCAAGACCTTCGGACGGGACGATAAATTGAGCCACCAATACAGTTTTGTATTTTGGCTTGAAATAGTCTTGGCTAAAGCCGTTTTCCTCATTGCACATTGCAGTGTGTTGTCCATCTTGTTGAACCAGATTCAGATCAGAAACGTAGGACAGAATACTCTTTTTAATTTCAAAGTTTTTTTTTTTAAATTGTAACAGATTGTAGTGATGGATTCAATGAAGGTGTTACTAAAACAGGACTATATCTAATCAAACCCAAAGCCGCATCCCACCCATTTGAGGTAATGCCATCTATATACCAGTAACACGGACTGCAAAGAGAGCACCAGTTTTATACAAAATAAAAAGAGTCACTGCATCCTTTGTACGAAGTATGAGATTGTATGCGGTTTGATAGTACATGAAAAGCCTCTAAACCTCTAAACTGTCATCCAGAATCCACTCTTGACCAGCATATTTTAAAAATCGTGGCCGAAGCAATCTGGAGAAAAAAATAACCCGTACCTCTCTCAACCGCAATCGGCACCTCTCTCAACCGCAATCGGCACCTCTCTCAACCGCAATCGGCACGGCAATCAGGTTGTAAAGAGGTACCTACTGGACTGGGTAATAATGATAAATACACTCTATCCGTGTAAGAATTAATGACAGTTTATTGTTCTCAATTCTCCAATTTCAGGTCAAATGTGTGATGAACATGACTGGTCAAACCGTTATCCAGTGGCATCACAATTCCTCCTTTAGATTCAATAAAACATGGGCAGAATTCCGGACTGGGTTTGGCAATCGAGACGGAGATCATTGGATTGGTAACGAGAAACTCTTCTGGTTAACGCAAAGTCGTAACTTTTCTCTGATGATAACTATCAAACCCCGAGGTGGTGGCATCCGTAATTTCAACGTTTCGAAGTTCATTGTTCTCTCCGAAAATTCGTCTTTTGCCATCAGAGTCTATGATGCCCCCGGCTCACAGAGCTGTCTGTCGCAGTATAACGGAACACAGTTCACAACATTCGATAGAGTTAATTCAGCCAACTGCGCTGCTATCAATGGAAGTGGCTGGTGGTACAACTCCACTTGCTCCGACTGCAATCTAAACGGACGATTGTATAGGGAGAACGCTACCATAATCGGCCCGGCCATTTGGAATCCAGAGAATGATAAAATCCTTCAAACTGAGATGACATTGGTTGAAACAACGTATGTCTCATCTGGTGCGGGGTTCACTACACCTACTCATATGGCAACAGGAAGCCCCTTTCCTG